AAAAAAAAAAAAAAAAAAATTGTTATGCACATTTTAGTATATGATGATGCTAATTTCAAATACACGTGACTAGTTTTAACAATATACACCATGAAATTGAAAATTAATTATGTTAGTAGTGGAAGTACTAGCATATAGCATATCAATTTCCCAATGCTATTTTAGTTTTAGTAGATCATTGTAATTGCATGGAGATTGTATATATGCGAGTTAGTAATTTGATGAATGTCACAACGTTAGTAATTTGATGAATGTCACAACCGCGTTATAGTCTATTTGGTAAATTGCGAGCAACTCTGTGCTATTATATTAATACTTTAGTGCTATTACTAATGGAGATTATTGCTATAATTAAAAAAAGAGTACTATATTTAACAAAAAATACGTTGCTATTATTTTTTGTATAAGAATAACAAACAAAAATGTTTTGCTATATAATTTGTTTTATAGAACATAATTTTAATTTATTTTACCCATGCTATTAAATAAACTTAAAACTTGATATGCAAGGTAGTTCTAATTTTATGAGTTGCAATTGCTAGCAATAACATAGATTTGATAATGTAATTCGTGATAATAAATTATTGATTAGTGCTATATATAATTATATTAATTCTTGTTGCTTAAGGTTTTTATCTGAATTCATTGTCTTCACATGACTTTATCAAATGTTAGTATTGTCTGTATTATTGACAATTATTAGTGAAAATGTGTGTCCAATATATGTCCAACTCATCAAAGTAACATTATTGAACTTAATGCTATCAATTATTCATATATACGCTACTATTCCAATTATTAATTCTTGCTACATCAAAGGTTCATATTGTATCTAACAACCAATTAGTCTTAATATGAATATCATGCTATCAAATGTTCAAATTGTTGCTAATATTTGCAACTTTTAGTGCTAGCTATCAAATTATTTCAGAGTAACTAACAATCTATTAGACTTACTATGTTTTTATATATGCTATCAAATGTTTATATTCTTGCTACAATGATAACTTTTAAGTGATAATATTATATGATACAATATTATGTATTTAATTTCTATTTTCATTAATATATAATAAAATTTTACAACAAAAAAAGGTGTTGATAAAGAAACCATTAAATACTTTTTTGGTGCAATTCACAATAAATTATTTTATATAAGTTTAAGAAATCATTGGTTATCCATATAAAGTATCTAAATATAATGACCGCAGTTGGACAAAAAACACTAGTATTAAATTTTATGTATTAAAAAATAAAGATATATTTGAAAAAAATCAATTCTTAAGCACCATCGAAACTGGTCAATGGTCATTCCATGTGTGATGTGCATGATTAGCCTATAGATAAATTATTTTCTTTATTAATAACAAATATATTATAATATATTTTGAATAGGAAAAAGAAAAAAAAAAAGAATAACATAGATAGATAACAATTCGAAAACATAATGAAGAATAAAAAAAATTAAAAGTCAAAGAGTTCATATACATTAAGGAGCACTACCATATTTGTTAACAATTAACTTGACATATATAGCATCCTCTCCATAAATGTGATTTTTAAACAAATTTACTTTTATATTGCTTTCAATCTAATCCGTTAATATTTATTGATTGGATGGTTATGATTCGTTCCTTGTTCTTACACTAAGAGAGAGTTCTCGTTTGAACCACATCCTATATATATATATATATATATATATATCAATTCCTACTTGTTCCCATTGTTAATTTGTGTTTTGTTCACTTCAATCTTATTTTGACTACAAATATACATATATCGTCACCTCTCTTTTCTTTCTCATTTTTTCACATAACATAACAATCTGTAGTTAATTAATTTCCATGTTTTTTTTTTTTTCAATTTCTTGGTGTGCGCCATGGTACATTACAAGTATTCATAATCATACATAACGTGTAGTTGGGAAGCAACTAACAATTTAGTTGATTAATTTCTATCAACAAATGCAATATATATAAGAGTTGCCAATATTGTTCACGGGTATAGTGTTTTTTTTTTTTTCTCCAACACCTAATATTGTTCACGGGTATAGTGTTGCGGTGGGGACATGGAAAGTGCAGAGCATATCTTCTTCAACTGTATTAGAGCTCAAAAGGTTTGGAAACGGTCCCCAGTTTCTTGGGATGGTATTTCTGGATATTGCAGCAACTTTGAAAGATGGTGGCGGGTTGTGTGTTCTTTGGATAGATCAACTGTATCTCAATATAGAATGCAACTCACTACTTATATATTATTATGGTTGTGCAAGTCCAGGAACCTCTGGAAATTTCAAAACTCACTAGTGAAAGCTGCAGTTAGAGAGTGGTCTGAATTTGCTTCTGTTAAGAAGAATCAGTACTGATATGCATAAGAAAGTCTTGTTAGGTCCTTATGAGGTTCAGTGACAAGGTGTTTGTTTGCTAGATGTTCTGTTTCAATGGTTGTATGGTTTGTGGTGATCACTTGGTGCTTGGAGATTCACTAAAGGGCCTTGTTGCTGATAGCTGCCTTTGGTGAAGGTCATAGGATGGATTGATTTGGTTAGCTTCTTTTAATGGCTTTACATAGCTCTTTTTGAGTTTACGGACTGATTGTTAGATTATCCATTTGTGTATTCGCACTTTTTTTTTATTTTATTTTTTATTTAGGGCACCATGGTGTGACCCTTGTGTGGATATTTGTATTATTGTTGGGATCAGTCGATTCCCCTGCTTGTATAACTTTTATTGGTATTTATGAGATTCAATCTATCTCGGAAAAAAA